TAAGAGTTATTGGAAGTTGGAAGCATGTGCGTATTGTGATGGTCAAAATTACTGTACGCAAAAGGCGATTGAAGGAAGTGATTCGGAAGCGATAAACACCCTCAACAACAACAGTAGCGATGCTCACAAGTGTCTCTGCCAAAAATTCAATCCATTTTGTGTTGCTTTCGACGGGGTGATCTTCGTTTTAGCGTCTCTTGCATTTGTCCGTTCAGTATAATTATACTCACTTTAAAGCATGAGAAATTCAAGGATTTTGATTCAAAATATTTTGATTCATATTCCTTCAATCAAAACCGCGACAAATCTTTGCAGACCTACCCACTACTCTTTAGTTGTCATGAAATTAAATCAACACTTTTGAGGTCACCGAAATACTTAAACTCTGGGTATATTATGGAGATGCTCTGCAGGACAAAGCCCTCATTGCCGAAGCACTGGGTTTTCAAGTGAAGCTTTTTCGAAAATTTCATCCAATTATTTCAGATTTGACGATAATAGTAGTTTGTAATAATGAAGTAGTAACAATAACATATGTGTAATCGTTTTTATGGCAGCAAGTCACATAACAACGATCTCCATCTTTCTGAGCTGTTCTTCTATTGCAATCAATCGGTCTCAGAAACAAAAAACTTATTCTTTTCTAATGAAAATAAACTTAAGAATATGACTGACGAGGTTGCGATTGTGACGAAAGCGAAAGAGAACATTATTTTTGCAATGTCTCAATTTTCTGATGAACAACGCATAAAACTTTCCATTCAGAAACGACAACTCATACAGAAATGTTCATTCAACGGTGCTGAATGTAATATTGACAAGTAACTGATTATTTCATTCACTAATTGCGACTGAAAAAAATTTCCTCCAATCTCCCATCGAATTCCTACAATTTGGCACAATATTCGCCAACAACCGTCTTTGAAACAAACATAATGCTTTGCTATTTTGCCGTTTCATGCAATGACTAAGTGTTCACTGCAGAGACTTTATTGTGGTGGCTGATCCAACGTTTGGTAATTGCTATACGTTCAACTTCAATCGTACTGAGAATAAAAGCAGTATACGAGCTGGACCGATGTATGGTATGTTAGTTGATGAAGTAGTGATTTGTTTTCAGCAGTGATATGGGTTTGCTTACAAAGAGTATTTTCAAGGTTTACGTCTGTTGGTTTATGTGAACGCATCTGATTATTTACCAACAACCGAAGCGGTTGGTATACGCATTACGATACATGACAAAGACGAATACCCGTTTCCGGTAATTATTCTCCATTATGATGGTCTTTTATCTGTCCAAATGCTTCCAGCCCGAACAGCCATTTTCAGGATACTTTTGGCTACAGCGCTCCAACCGGCTATATCTCGTCATTCGGAATGAAACTGGTAAACACTATAAACTGTGCATTTGTTTGGCTCCTTACTCTCAAGTATTGCAGAGTCATACTTTACTTATTCGATCAACCCCATTCATTCAGCATCCATTCATTCATTCTTTCATTCACCAGTATATCATAAAATTCTTGGCAAGTCATTTTGCTCTTCTCATATGTGATTTTCTTCATACCAAAGCATCCACTAAATGCAATCATCTAACTATCCAACTGGCCGGGCATCTTTTCGTGCATATTACTAAAATACTTCTGTATTTTGTTGTTTTTAAAGAAAAAAATGACTCGTTTACCTGCACCGTTCGGAGACTGTGTTCCGGATGGACTGACGACAAGTTATATCTATGAAGATTTTCGTTACTCAACCGAGGTTGGTTACGTATAAAACACTTAATAATTTCATCAAAAATTGCTTACAGTGAAAATTTGGCAGAATAGAATATGTCACATTTGTCATCATGAGTTTATGATATGTTGAAGGGTTGCTATCGAACGTGCTTTCAAGAGATAGTGTTGCGAGATTGTGGCTGTGGCGATCCACGTTTTCCAGTGCCGTCGAATGCGCTTCACTGCTCTGTGTTCGATCCTGAAGCCAGTCAGTTGCCTTTGTCAAAGCAATCTAAGTTATCTATGAAGGAGCAGTCAATGAAACAAGAACTAGTCAATGAACTAGTAAGAACTAGTCAATGAACGCCCGTCAAAAAATTCAGCGTTCAAAAGTCAAGGGTTTCGATGCGTATTCCCTAGCGAATAGAACTGGCAGGTTGTTGATTTGCAGGGAAATGTTTGGAAAGGCGTACAAATGAGTTGAGTGATATACACAGTAGTTTCCGGTGTCTTTGTCAACAGCCATGCTCACAGTCTGTTTATACGGTATCGTATTCAGCTGCTATTTGGCCCTCTGAATCATTGAATGTGTCGATTGGAAACTGTAACAGTGAACCAGACGTTTGCATTGAGCACTACAAGTTCGTTCACTTTAGCTTATGGTTTTGACGAAGGATTTTTTGAAGAATTTTGAGAGATGTTAGAGAATAAAACAAAGCAGCTGAAGATGTACAACGAGTATCTTTTTGAAACTTCCGAAGGGATTATGGCCATTTGTGTCCTTTTTAATGAGTTGCACAAAAGAGAAACTGGTTGCAAACAAAATAATGAAAAACGCGTTGAAAAATTCGCGACGAATGAATGACTTCCAAAACAAACAAATGCATCGCTGATGGTTACTATTGTAGAGAAAATGGTGCAATGGTGGAAGTGTTCTATGAAGCACTGAACTTTGAAATGCTAACTGAATCAGAAGCGTACGGGGTGAGTCGGGTCTTACTTCAATTTTCATTGGTGTTTCCACTTCAGTTTAATCGTTTCAGTACTCAGTCGATCAGCACAATAATTTCAGGTTGTAAAAATGCTTTCTGATTTTGGCGGGCAACTTGGTCTCTGGTCGGGAGTCTCGTTCATAACATGCTGTGAATTCGTGTTTTTGATTTTCGAAACCATTTATATGGTTGTTGACCATCACTATCGCAAATACAAACGTAAAAAAGAGCACGATGACCTAGGTGAATAGTCTACTCTTGCTGCTACCGCCCTTCGATACCGATATCGCTAACGATGAAAATACTTCACAAGAATGATGCTGTTTTTTGGTTCAGATCTGTATTGCACGTTTTCCTAGAAAGATCATATGGTGCTGTACTGTGCTGAACTTCGAAAACGGACAAATTTACCCAACCGTACTGGGCTGCCAATTTTCCAGAAACAAATACGCTGTATTGCAGTATAACCAAAAAAGTACAACGCACTTGAAGTGTGTCAAATTTACTAGTGAAGATAAAATAAGGAATGTATCAGTTCGTGGGTGATTCAAGAACTCTCCGTAATTTTGCCTCATCATATCTTAACGCTTGACTGCCTGCCTTGTGAACTTGCATGTAAATAAGTATGTTGTTGTGTTGCTCATAGTGAAGAAAAGTTCCAACTGAATCATGTCATTCCCTTCGATATTGCTGCAATTTAGTCATGACCTTTTTTTCGAAACAATGACACATCAGAAGTGATGTGCGTTTTTTCTATAAAATACCTTCAGCTTTATTTCCCCATCTTCTACTGTGATGGGCTTGAAAATCATATTGTATGTGTGCTTAGTTGAAATTTGAACTCTATCGGCTGATCCATTTTGTTGATGTTATAGTAAGAAAAAATGGAACATAAAAAAAAGGATTCCTTTAAAATAGAATATAAATGAGAATAAAAGTTGACCAAATTGAATGAATAGAATATAAATGAAGAGAGATAAAAGGATATTATGATTTGTGTTGGAAATTGGGAAATGATACGTTAATGTAACGATGGTGAACATTTGATGAGCATTTTAAAAGGCGTGTGATTAACTCGAGAACTTGTCTTATTGACGATTATAATAATAGTGGTCATAGTGATAATGATAATATCAATAACAGCAATAATAATAATGATATTGATAATAATAATAATAATAAATAATAATAATAACGGCGATGAGACGATGTCATTAAATAGGCAAAGGCAATCAATGGTTTGTGAGAACAAATAGGAAACGTTAAAATGGTTACGCCTATTAAATGAAGTAATTATGAGAATAATTGATTAGGTACAATTAATTTAATTTATATACTTAGACTTGATTTGATTGTATTGCATTTCATTATACTTGCTTTGCATTGCACTGCTTTGTCATCTTTACCACTTTCTTCGATGTGTTATTCGGTTTATCTGTATTTGCTTATGAGTCTCTTTTGCATCATCCATTACAACAATAATTATGACGAACATATTTATAGGACGTCTATGAAAATTGATGATTTTTCAGAACACCTACCCTCCCCCCCCCCCCCCTTCCTTTTTTTTCAAACTCTTCCTCTCTGTATCCAATTGGATCGGGCCCAGATTTCCTCCAGAAGAGTATTTTAACGTTAAAATAATTCAAAAATTTTCCAGCACTCCACGAAAACAACTTTATTCGAAGTGAAGTGATTTCACACACTTCTAAAATTTTATGTAACAGTACGATACCAAGTTGAATTTACTTATTAAAAATAGGTTTAGGAACGAGGCAGAATCCTTGATCCTTACCCGCGAAATCCAGGGTCAGGACTCCGTTTTACGGGATCTGCCACCGCCTTAGCCTTTTCGTTTTGCGAGTTGCCTCGCCCAATACCGTTGCGATTCCCCGCCAGATATTAAAAAAAGGCAAAATAGGTACAAACTGCTGCTAACTCCATTCCTCCGGTTGTTTTGAACTGAAACATTCAAAAATTAAGCTAAATTGCCCGATAACATTTATTTTATCTTTTTGAAGTTATATTTATTCACTAGGCTTTGCTAATGCCACAAAACCTGGAGAGTTCAGCAATGTGAAAAAATCATCATGCTTCTGGGCACACTTCCGAATAGTTTTACTTTGAATATGGTGCTCTCAATATTCATAACGTAATATACAGATTCATCAATATAAATAGAGTGTGCATTGAAATGAGATAAAAACTGCTAGACAACGACAATAATGTTTGGAAGTGGAAAATAAGATTGTAGGTATGGTGTTACTCCAAAGGGATTAATTTTTTGATGGAGGAACATTTCGAGGATTAAAATCAGGGGAATGTTGAAGTGGATGCATTTAAAAATCTGAAATTTGGTTGAAACTAATCATGGACGATGCTTTGAAATGTTAGTATCTTTATGGACATCATGTATGTATGATCCTTCAAAGTTTCATTATTCTCTTTTTATTACAATTAATTTTGGGTGGTAAATAAAGCTATTCTTAAACAGATCAGTTGTTATCCACATACTACACATTCGTATTAAGAAAAGGGGGTCCTCGGTACTCCCCCGCAGAATCCGGGGTCGGGACCCGTTTCATGCGATCACAAGCCAACTCAACCCCCGCTCACAGCAGTAGAATCCCGCGCTCCAAAATTTGCCCGTCCTTAACCTTTTTGAAAACCAAAACTTCCCTCTATACATCCGCTATATACACATATAGCCCCTTATTATTGTTATTATCAGTATCAATATTGTCGTTATCATTATTGTTATCATTGATTGTTGGCATCATTGTTTTTATTGTTCAGCAACATGGCGTTAAATAATGTATGTAATATTCTTTAAATCCAGATCCCATGATGGAGGGGTGCAAATTTGGCGACCTTTTAAAAAGAAGGTCTATTTAGTGCAGATATGCACGAAAAGAGGAGGGCCATTGTTATATGAATAGAAGTGTAATTTTAATCAATTCGATGTAATTTATTTGATAAGATAAGCAACTGAAACGATTCTATGAGCGTGTGTTAATCAAGTGAAAAGCATTTTGAATGATGCTAATTTGATTTGGCCGTCATATTCAAATTAAAAACATTAACATTAACAATAATACATTCTCATTTTCATTAAACATTTTCTATCAATTACCAATATATATACATGTACACTACGTATACGTTTCATTCATCGTTAACATCACTACCATATACCTTTTTAGTACAATTATTACTTTTATCATTAGTCTCCTTATCATCATTTCTAGTTTATCGTTACTGTTCTTATTATTTTTATTATTGCTACTGTCATTCTTACAGAATACACAAATGAACAACTGAGAGAAAACAAAACGCAATTAAATAAAAAAAGTAATAAAAACATAAACGAAGCATACATATGTGCAAAGTAGTTGAACAAATTAAAGGTTA